GTCCACGTCATTGTGTCCACCGCCAGAGGACTGGTGTCACTTACAGTGCTGGTGGCGCCAGAGCCTGCTTGCGCGGGCTTCCTCGGGCCGGGTCGTTCTGTGAGCATGTACCCCCCCCTCTCCACCTCCTGCCCGTTCTCTTCTCCCTCCTCTCTCTCCACCCCATCTTGTGCTTCGTCCCATCAGGAGGAACACGATGCAGGGGAGGGGATGGGGGCATCCATCCCTACTCCTCTCTCCTTCTCCTGCTCCTCCTCCCCCATTCTCCTCATCCTCCCATTCCACCTCCCCCTCCCCCTCCTTCTCCTCCTCCTCCTCCTCCTCCTCCTCCTCCTCCTCCTCCTCCTCCTTCCCCTCCTCCTCCCTCCTCCTTCCTCCTTCCTCCTTCCTCCTCCTCCTCCTCCTCCTCCTCCTCCTCCTCCTCCTCCTCCTCCTCCTCCTCCTCCTCCTCCTCCTCTTCCTCTTTCCCGAACAGTGCAGAGCGCCCCCGACCGTCCCCGACCGTCCTCCTCGTCGTCTCGCCGCCGCCGCCCCCGCCGACGCCGAGAAGGGGACGGCGGCGGCGGCGACGGCAGCCAGGACGACGGTAGCGGCGATGGTGATGGCGGCGACGGCGGATACGACGGCGACGGTGGCCACGGCGGCGGCCATGGCGACGACGGCGACGACGACTTACGACGCGGGCTGCGACGACGAGCACGGTGGCGGCGAGCACGGCGGCGGCCGCCGGCGGAGCCTCTTTGGTCGGCTGCCGGCCCCCCTCCCGAGGCGCCCGCGCCGAGCTCGAGCGGGGCCGCGCCGAGCTCGAGTCGCTGCGGGCGAGCCTCGAGGAGGCCCCGCGGGTCGCTGGCCGCGGCCACCGCCGCGCCCGAGGAGCGTCGAGGCTCGAGGAGGGCGGGGGACCGAGGAGGGGGAAGTGTGTCGAGGTCCGAGACGGGGCCGTGCAGAGGGGGGCCCCAGGACGGAGGGAATCCGCAAGGGCCAGAGGGGTCTTCCGGCGTCGAGGGTGGCCGAGGTGCCGAGGGCGGTCGGTGTCCGAGGAGGAGCCCGGGGCAGAGCCCCGGGGGGTCCGGGGGAGCTCGTGCCCCCGCTGCGCCCCACGCTCGCGCGGAGGCCGCGGTCGCTGAGGACCGCCGCCGTCGTCGCAGAAGCGTCGGCCGAGGATCGAGGGCCAAGGGCACCGTTCCTGCGGGGGGGAGGAGGGGGGCGCCAGGGTCGAGCGCCGCCTGCGCGTACTCAGGAGCACGGGCTTGACCCCCCCCCCCTCGCTCCCTACACACACACACACACACACATACACGCACACATCAGGATGGCTGTGGTATCCAAGCGCGGAGTTTCATGGGGGGCCATGTTTATATGTTCTGTCTACGGAGCGTTTTCTGGGAAGGTCCCCGGGAACTACATCTGACGATTTCCTTCGTCTCTCCACCCTCCCTCGCCTTCTCCCGATCATGCTTGCTCGATATGTGATCCGTGTGCGACGATCGTATCATTGCCTCACTGCTGGAGACACGGGCCAAGTGTTCTCACCTGGGTTCTAGACTGGCACGGCTTTCAGGCCGATAGGGAGTAGCGCAGTAGCGCAGCGTAGCGCTAGCTTGGATTCCGCTGAATCCCGACGAGTTCGTATGAATCCCAGAAGGCTCGAGGTACACACTATGTCGTTCGGTCGGGCAAGAAGGCAAGGAGTTCGGCGAAGGAGTTCGGTGCGTATAGACGCTCCAGCGTTCCACAGGTTTGGAGGCTGGGGCGTCTACACATCAAGGTCATTGGCCGACCACACGACCTGATGTATACTTCGAACCCCTCGGACTTCCTCTTCAAGCGCCTCCCAGGAGGCCCCAAAAGGGGAAAACGAGGAAAGGGTCCCACACATGCGACGTCCGGATTTTTTAAGGACTGCGTCCCAGGAAGTCCCGACCCTTTCCCCGGGACCGGTTTTGCATCCTGAATCGTTCTTTGACGGTCCCGAGGCCCGGCGAGGGCCCCCTGAGGCCGAACAAAGCCCAAAACCTCCCGTCCTGATCTCTGCACGACGCGAGCATGTCAGGGGCAGAGGTATGGGTGCCTTTTCCTCCTCTGAGCTCCGCTGCCTCAGGGCCCGGGAGCTCTACGCTCTTTGTGGCCGGCCGGGGTCCGCGGCGCGTGGCCCCCTGGCCGAGCGCCGCGGCGGCAGCGCCGCGGCGCGCACGCGTCGGCGCACTGCCTCGAGGGAGAGGCGGCCAGGCGTTGGCCGGCCGGCGGCCTCTCCGAGGCCTGCCCTGTCTCGGCGCGCGGCGGCCTCCTCCGCCTCCTCCTCCTCCTCCTCCTCCTCCTCCCGCTCCCCTTTCTCCTCCTCCTCCTCCTCCTCCTCCTCCTCGTCCTCCTCCTCCTCCTCCTCCTCCTCCTCCTCCTCCTCCTCCTCCTCCACCCTCCTCTTCCTCCTCCTCCTCCTCCTCCTCCTCTCCCTCCCCCTCCTCCTCCGCCTCCTCCCTCCTCCCTCCTCCTCCTCCTCCTCCTCTCCTCCTCCTCCTCCTCCTCCTCCTCCTCCACCTCCTCCTCCTCCTCCTCCTCTCCCTCCTCCTCCTCCGACCTCCTCCTCCTCCTCCTCCTCTCCCCCTCCTCCTCCTCCTCCGAGGGATGTGACCGGAGGTGTTGGCCGGCCGGCTGCCTCTCCGAGGCCTGACTGTCTCGGCGCACGGCGACACAGGGTCCTCAAGCAGTGGCGAAGCGTTCTGGCGTGCCGAATGGCCAAAACTTGTTGAAAAATGATGGCCCCTGCTCCCCTCCCCCCCCCTCCGGATCCTGAGTGTCATTCACACGCCGGCGGATAATCATGTGTTAAAACTGTCCCCCTGGAAAAATATTCGGCGGAGAGCGGACATACGTGTGCATTGTAAACATATACACGCAGACGCATGCATTGGAACATGCATTCGAATTTCTTGCGTGCAAATGTATACGATGCTCAGGATGCTCCGGTCGACAACGTGTGTACGCTTCCTACACAGCATGGGCCATGGCGGCCGCGTGCGCGGCGGCCTTGCCCCTCGCGCAGTGTTACGTTTTCCCACGCAGTGTGCCAGGGCCGCCGCGCGCGCGGCGGCCTTGGCCCCTCGCGCATTGTGTTTTTCCATTCAAGATGCGCGTGGGCCGCCGCGCGCGCGGCGGATCTGTGCCCCTCGCGGATTGCGCTTTTCTATGCAAGGTGCGCGTGGGCTTCCGCGCATGCGGCGGCCCTGGTCCCTCGCGAGGTGTGTTTTTCCATGCAGGATGCGCGTGGGCCGCCGCGCGCGCGGCGGCCCTGTGCCCCTCGCACATGGTGGTTGCATACAGGGTGCGCGTGGGCCATCGCTCGCGCGTCGGCCCATGACCCCTCGCGCAGTGTGTGTGTGTGTGTGTGTGTGCGTGTGTGTGTGTTTCGGTACAAGATGCGCGTGGGCCGCCGTAATTACGCGTGGCTGCCCTGGCCACTCGCGCACGTGCTTTTTCCATTCAGGATGCGCGGGGGCCGCCGCGCGCGAGGCCGCCCGTTGCACCTCGCGCGTTGTGTTTTGTTGTTCCATACCAGATGCGCGTGGGCCGCCGCGCGCGCGGCGACCCATGGCTCCTCGCGCATTGTGTTTCTGTACCACAAGATGTGCGTGGGCCGCCGCGTGCGCGGCGGTCCTCGGCTCATCGCGCATTGTGTTTTCCTTTACAGGATGCGCCATTGCGCATGGTGTTTCTGTGTATCGGATGCGCGTGGGCCGCCGCGCACGCGGCGGCCCTGACCACTCGCGCATTGTATTTTTTCAATGTAAGACGCGCGTGGGCCGCCGTGCGCACGGCAGCCCACTGCCCCTCACGCGTTGTGTTTTCCATGCAAGGTGCGGGTGGGCCGCCGCGCGCGCGGCGGCCCATGGCCCCACGCGCGTTGTGGTTTTCCATGCAAGACGCGCGTGGGCCGCCGCGGGCGCGGCGGCCCTTGGCGCCTCGCGCAGTAAGGTTTTCCCGTGCAAGGTGCGCATGGGCCGCCGCGCGCGCGGCGGCCCATGGCCCTTCGCGCATTGTGTTTTCTTCAATTTGGAATGCGCATGGACCGCCGCTCGCGCGCGGCGAACCACGGCCCCCCGCGCATGGTGATGTTCCATGCAGGCTGCGCGTGGGCCTCCGCGCGCGCGGCTGCCCCGGCCCCTCGCGCAGAATGTTTTTTTCCGTATAAGATGCGTGTGGGCCGCCGCGTGCGCGGCGGCCCTGGCCCCTCACGCATGGTGTTGTTTCCCTGCAAGACGCGCGTGGGCCGCCGCGGGCGCGGCGGCCCTGGCCCCTCGCGCATTGCGTTTTTATATAAGATGCGCGGGGGCCGCCGCGCGCGCGGCGGCCAATGGCCCCTCGCGCATGGTGTTTTTTTTCTACTCCAGACGCGCATGGGCCGCCGCGCGCGCGGCGGCCCTGGCCCGTCGCGCATCGTGTTTTCCCATGCAAGGTGCGCGTGGGCCGCCGCTCGCGCGTGGCGGACCATGGCCCCTCGCGCATTGTGCTTTGCCCATGCAGGATGCGCGTGGGCCGCCGCGCGCGCGCAGCAGCCCATTGGCTTTCGCGCACTGCGCTTATCCATGCAAGATGCGCATGGGCCGCCGCGCGCACGGCGGACCATGGCCCCTCGCTCATTTCGCGTTTGCCTTACAAGATGCGCGTGGGCCGCCGCGCGCGCGGCGGCCTCGGCCCCTCGCGCATTGTTTTCCCATGCGAGATGCGCGCGGGCCGCCGCGCGCGCACGGTGGGCCATGGCCCTCGCGCATGGTGTTTTTTTTCCATGCTGGATGCGCGTGGGCCGCCGCGCGCGCGCAGCGGCCCATTGGCTTTCGCGCGCTGCGTTGTACCATGCAAGATGCGGGCGCGCGCGCGGCGGCCGGTGGCACAGACGTGCGTGGTGTTTTTTTGTTGTCCATACAAGGCTCGCGTGGGGCTTCGCTCGCGCGCCGACCCTGGCCCCTCGCGCATTGTGCGCGTTCGTTCGAAATGCGCGTGGGCAGCCGCGCGCGCGGCGGCCCTTGGCACACTCGCGCGGTGCGTTTGTCCATGCGAGGCGCGCGCGGGCCGCCGCTCGCGCGGCGGCCCGGGCCCCATCGCGCATTTTGTCGTTACAAACAAGATGCGCGCGGCGGCCCCTGGCGCCTCGCGCCTTGTGTTTTTTCCATGCAAGTTGCGCGTGGGCCGCGGCGCGCGCGGCGGCCCTCGCACCTCGCGCAGGCTTATAATTGTAATTTTATATGTAACATACAAGACGCGCGTGGGCCGCCGCGCGCGCGGCGGCCCTCCATCTGAAAGTCGCCATGCTGGTCTGCGAACTCAAGTGAACCCGCAGCGGTTGCCGATTTGTGTTCCAACGCAACATGCGGTTTTTCGCTTTCTTTCATCTGCGCGGCCTAGAATGAGCCGACGCGCCCGCGCGCGCGCGCGGCGTGAACCCGCAGCCGTTGCCGATTGGATTTCCTACTTAAAAAGCGGTCTTTCCGTTTTGATTTCGTCCACAGGTGCAGCGTACAATGCGCCGACGCGCGCGTTCGCGTGGCGGTTTCTGGTTTGTCCGCAGTCGGAATGTCGCCGTGCTGGCCTTGGAACCAACGTGAACCCTTAGCGCTTGCTGATTGGATTTCCAACTTCACATGCGCTCTTCACGATTTCTTTTATCGGTGGAGCCTACAATGCGCCGACACGCGCGCGTGGCGGTTTCTCCACTGGCAGTAGTAGAAACGTCGCCGTGCTGGCCCGGGAATTAAAGTGAACTCTGAGCGCTTGTTGATTGGAGTTCCAATCTTAACATGCGGTCTTTACGTTTTCGTATATTAGTGCAGCTTACAGTGCGCCGACGCGCGCGGGCGCGAGTGGCGGTTTCTGTGTTGCCCGCAATGGGAAAGTCGCCATGCTGGCCTGGGAACTAGAAGTGAACCCTCAGTTGTCGCCGATCGGATTTCCCACGTAACATGCGGTCTTTACGTTTTCGTCGATTGGTGCAGCCTACAATGAGCCGACGCGCGCGTTCGCGTGGCGGTCTCTGTTTTGTCCACAATAGGAATGTTGCCGTGCTGGCCTGCAAACTGAAGCGACCCTTTTCTAGCGGTTGCCGATTGGGTTTCCAATTTGAAATGCCGTTTTTACGTTTTCGTTTATCGGTGCAGTCTACAGTGCGCCGACGCGCGCGTGCGGCGGTTTTTGTATTGTTCGCGATGGGAAAGTCGCCATGCGCGGGTCACTGCGCTCTGTTGGATGCCCGGAGTGCTTTCACCAGAGTGCACTTTGGTGAGTGCACGCTGGTGAGGCGATGGGGCTGAGAGCGCACTCGTGGTGAGTGCGCGCGCCGAGCGTCGGTGCTGAATGTCGGCGCTGAGTGTGATTGCCGAGTGTCGGCGCCGAGTGTCGGTGCCGATGCTCGGCGCCAAGCGTCGACGACGATCGTCGTTGACGCGCCGAGTGTCGGCGCCGATCGTCGTTGACGCGGTGGGTCTCTCAAGACTTGCCCCCCTGGGCGAAACCCAAGTCAGAAATCTGCCGTTGGACGCGGAGTGCCAGGGCGGTCGCGGGGACGTCCCTGCCCCGCCTTCCTTTTGTTTTTTTGGTAAGCGCACTACAGCGCCGCGCACTGCCCCCCAAGATCAAAGTTTGACTGTTTTTAGACATTCAAGGCCCACCAAACAATGTTATGAACACCTTTTTCTTGTGGTTTTCCAAGAAGCGTTCTCATAACATTTCTGTCCGGGAGTGTCCTGTTTTGACGCATCCGCTTTAAGTTTCAAAAGCAGTGTTTTCGTTGTTCGATCATTTTTGCATTCGAAAGACATGTCGTGGTAGGCTTACAGGAAGGTCGGGGCTGTCGGCACCCGCTCCATGGGTGGCCCGGAAGCAGGCGGCCCAGAGAGCCCGTCGAAAGGCTTCCGTCGCCTTGTCGCCGTCTCGCCGCCGTCGTCTCGTCGTCGTCGTCGTCGTTATCGTCGCCGTTGTCGTTGCCATTGACGGTCCAAGAGGTGGAGGCGGAGAGAGGGGGAAGGAAGAAAAGGTGGAGGAGGAGGAGGACGAGGAAAAGGGGTAGGAGGAGGAGGAGGAGGAGGAGGAGGAGGAAAGGGAGCAGTGGATGAGCAGTTGGGCCGAAAGGCTTCCTGCCAGAACGCTTATGCAGTTCGCAGGTTCCGTGGAAGCATGCCTTCCCTGGCGGGGCGGGCCCACAAACACGCATTTATTCCTCCAGCTGCCGGATGACACCACCGAAACGTGTACTAAGGGGGGGCGCGCTTAGTTCAATGTTCACCTGGCGTTGCAGATGGGGGTCAGGATGAAAGCTGACGCGTGCAGAAAAACGCGTGAGGCGAATGCACGTCCACACGCATATATACACACGGGAACACACACACACATGCGCGCACACACACACACACATAAAACCCCCACACACACAAACATACACACACGCACTCTCTCTCTCTCTCACACACACGCGCGCAAATACAAACGCATACGCACGTACATACACACTGTTGGGCGGTCGCGGCCTGTCGCGCGGCGACGAGGCGAAGCAAGTCAAGTACGGCGGCCGAAGCATAGGCCGGAGCAGGCGAGCGCCACACACAAACAAACAAACAAACAAACAAACAACCAACCAACCAACCAATCAAACAAACAAACAAATATACATACATACGCACAAACACGCACACACGCACACACATATTTCCCCGTTTCGGAACCCGAGCCCCCAATGGATCGATCCGGACACAGATACCGAGCACAAGCATGGGGTCGGGAGCTCTGGCCGCCGTTTGTTCGCAGCGTTGTGATCTGTCCGCGCCGTCAGATGTCGGGGCTTCTGGTACTGAGAAGTTCCAGCCAGAGCCCAAAGACATGTTCCGCCCGACAAGGCGACCAGGTGGGGTCTACAGTGTACTGAGCCCCTGCCGTATGCCACCTCGGCGTCGCATCCAGCCCACGGGACCGCTTTGCCGGCGCCTGCGCTGGCGGGCGACTTGAAATATAATAGCACGTGTCACGACTGATGCACGACATAAAAATGTGGGGGAGAGTTCTGAATCGGTATAGTGCCGAGGCAATATGCATTGCTGCGCTTGTGCTGGCAGGACAACCTGGGATGCGCGCGTTCGGGGTGCTGGGGAAGCCGCTCTGCCTGTTGGGGACCTGCGCCGTGCCTTGCGTCGTGCCTTCCACCCCTCAGCGCAACGTAATTGGGCATTGAGAGGGGGGGTGGTTTCAGGGTCGGGTGGCCTCGTACATCGCTGATTTGAATCCTGCATCCCGTTGTTTCTGATGCACTGTTGGACCTTGTCGCTGGCTCGCTAGCGAAGCCTTTGCCAAGCCTGTGTCGGCTGCCCACGGTCCCCGCTGCCCTGGCTGGCCGCTCCGGCCCGCTCACCGCGGAACGTTTCCATGTCTGAGCGCCTACTTCCTTCTCCCCCCGCGCGGCCTCCCTCGTCTTCTCCTCTCTCTCTCACTCTCTTGCACGCCGGACACTTTGCCTATCGGTGCCCCGGGTGAGGGCCCCACGCTGGCGTGGATCGCCTCTGCCTCGCCGCCGACCGACAAGACTGTGTCGGCTGCCCACGGCCTCATCGTGTCGGCGGTCACCCTGCTTGTGACGATTCTGCGCGGGGCCTCCCGCATGTGCAGACAGGGAAGCGACACATACAGACACAATTGATCGTCGACCCCCAGGGAACGATGGGAAAATCTGGGAAGTGAGGGGGGAAGACGAAAGTCCAGAACATGTGGACGAGTGCGGGGAATCCTGGGATTTGAATGAATGCATCTAGTTGTGTCCTTGGGCCCCTTGGCGCGTGATCGCCGCTTCCCCGTCGTCGGAGGCGCGCCGCCGGCGCACCGAGCTGGAGGCGGAGGGAGCGCCGCTGGCGGCGAGGAGCGCCGGCCTCAAAGAGGAGCGGCGGGCTCCCGCCGCCGAGCTTGCCCTTGCTGTTGTTGCCGCCCCTCTCTCCCTCCGTCTCTGTCTCTGCCTCTGCCTATGTTTTTTTTGTTGTTTTTTTGTTGTTCTCTCTCTCTCTCTCTCGCTATACTACTGTTGCCTACCAGTCTGAAACATATCCCCATCCCTAGGCTTGGCATCACCTCGCCTCGATGCCGATCTGAAGGGTTCCCTCAGCTTCTGGGGGCCTATCCCTAAGATTGTTCTCGCTTGTTCCTCGCCCATCCTTAGGGATAGAGGTAAGTTCGAGGCTGGTTGGTTGCCGCCGCTGGCGCTGCCGCCGCCAGTCTCCCTCTCTCTCCCTCTGTCTCTGCCTCTGCCTCTGCCTCTGCTTTTTTTGTGTTTTCTGTGTTCTCTCTCTCGCTCTCTCATGGGGCGTTCCGAACAGGGCCTCGCCTTCGAGGATAGAAGGCGCTTTCGTCTCTTCCTCGGCGGAAGGCGGCGGAAGGTCGGCGGAAGTAAAACGAGGCCGCCTCCGCCAGCGGAAGCCGGCGGAAGCTCGCCGGAAGGCGGCAGAGGTAAAAAAAACGCCCCCAAGAGATGAAAACGTTTTTGGGTTCAGGGTTTCGAAATCGCCCCTACATAGCCGTGTTAGTCCACTGCTGCCCATTGGGCGAGTGCGTTGTGTAGTCCGGGCTGCCCCTATCCAGCCCCCATTGACTCGACATCGGTTGCTAAATCCCAGGAGCAGGTCGTCCACATGAGTTGTGGCATGTTGGCAGTTGCTGACCACCTCGCTCGCCATGGACGCCATTGGGATCCCATCGAGGATTGGCGGTGATTGCTGGCTCACTCTTGTGACCGCCTTGTCTCCAGCGTGTCTGTCCTTGGAATCGGCCAGCGACAAGTCTGGAAATGTATGACCGTGAGCATAGCCAATCGTGGCCACCATGCTCCTCTCCAAGAGAGCCGCCGAGCGTTGGCGCATCAGTTCCACCACACAGCTCCGCGCTTGAGAATGCGGCCCGTTGCTAATTTGGGGGCTCATTCGCTTCACCAGCAAGAGATCATCGCTCCTCAAGGTCCGGTTGACAAGTCGGATGTAAAGATGCCAGAGAAGTTCGCGGGGTTGCGAGAGATCCTGTGCCATTGCCGGGGGAATGTCTCTTCTCATCTGAGTTTTGAATATGGCGGCGGTGCCTTCACGACGGGCTGACGGGCTTTAGCATTGTGACAGCACCGCGGGCTTGCTTGATTGAGACAGAATGTAATTTTCTGTGGCGAATGGTTGTCATGTTTGCGCGCCACTGTGTTTTACTTCTTCGCGGACCGCTCGTCGTGTGGACAACGATGTTGCGCGTCCCGCGCACCGACGCATCTGTTTGCTGCGACCGGGATGGGGAAGCATTGCTCCAATGTGGCAAATTCCGCTTGTGCATCCGCCGGGGAAGTTTACCGTGATTGCATCGCTTATGTCGCTGATGGTGGCGAAGTCCAATACAGTCGGGGCCCTGAAGAAGGAACCCTTTTCGTTGGGGAGGGGCTCCGCGTTCCTTAATTGTTTCGCAGCTTGCCTCAGACTTTCCTTAGGTTTTCGATCGGAAATCGAAGGTGAACTTATGGAAAAAAGGGGGCTCGTTCCTTATTTAGGGTTCCTTTGGTCAACGCCCCGACTGTATCTGCCGCTGGCCCCCATAGTTCTTCCGATGTTCGGCATCATGTTGCCGACCTGCGCTCGGCGCGGGCTCTCCTCCACACTTCCCCCCTCCATTGTGATCCCCCCCGTGTCCCTCTTCCAGGCGACGACGGACGAAGACGACGCAGGACGACGCAGGACGACGGACGGCGACTGGCGGACGACGGAAGGCGGACGACGGACGGCGGACGGCCCGACGGCGCACGACGGACGGCGGACGGTCCCACGGCGCACGGCGGACGAGGAACGGCGGCGAGCGGCGGCCGACGGCGGCGCGCAGGCGGCGCACGGCGGACGACGGCGGACGGCGGCGACGCCCTCCTCGCCGCCGGCAGGAGCTGCGGCGCGCCTTCGCGGCGGTCGAGCAGGCGCGCGCCGAGCGCGACGAGGCCAGCGCCGCGGCGGAGCAGGCGCGCGCGGCCCCGGCGCGCGCGCGCGCGGCGCGGCGGCGCGGCCCTCCGGCGGGCCCTCGGAGGCGCCCTCGGCGGCCACGAAGGGGGGGCTGCGCCCGCCGAGGCCCTCCTCACCGGGCCTGGCTCGCCGCGGAGCAGGCCCGGGACGAGGGCGCGTCGCGAGGAGGAGCGCGACGGGAGGTTTTCGGGCCGCTTTCGGGCGCCGGGGGCCCTCGCAGGGCCGCGGGGGCCGTCCAGGAACGTCTCGGGGATGGAGAGCGCTCGCCCTGTGCAAAAGCGCGCTCGGGCCCTCCCGGGAGCTCGTGTTGGAAAGTGCCAGGCGTCGGATGTCTGGGGGCGGTCCCTGTGGGAGCGAGTCCGGAGGTCTCTCGCGGTTTTCCGGCCCCGCTTCGGGCCCGTCAAGAGTCAGGAGGGAGAGAAACACGCAGACACAATTAATCGTCGATCCCCCAGAAAATATGGGAAAATATGGGAAGTGCAGGGGAAGACAAAAACCCAGAAAATATGGGAAAATATGGGGATTTGTTTTATTTGTGTGTATTTATTTGTGTGTCCTGTGGCCCCTTTAAAGAGAGCGTCTCAGTCAGCAAAGGGCTGTTCCTGGGCGAAGGCCCCTGGGAGCCAGGCTCCGTTGCAGCCTCCCTCTGGGCCCCCCTCCTGCATGGGCAAGGCGTCCGAGGCGCCAACCCCTGGCGGCGCCGCGCGCGCCGCGAGGAGGTGGCGGCCGCCGCGCAGAGGCCCAGCGGCAGGGAGAAGTGGTCAGAGAGGGGAGGGGGGGGAATGGCACGCGAGGAGGCGGTGGCCGCCGCGCAGACGCCCAGCGGCAGAGAAAGGGGGGGGGTGGCGGGGGGGGGAGGGGCAATCGCGCGCGCGGAGCGGCGTGGGGGGGGAGGGGCAATCGCACGCAGCGCGCGCAGCGCGCGCACGCCGAGTCCGCGCAGGAAGCTCGGCGCCACCTCGACGCGGCCGCGGCGCTGGCGCGGGCGTTCGGGTTAGCACCTCCCCTTCTGGGTAAGTAGGGAGGTTGGCTGGTTGTCAGGAGGACGGGCTCCTGCCTGCAACAGCGCGTTCTCTGCTGTGCCTGCGTCAGTTTCACAAGATGGGGGGCGGTTCCTTTTCCAAGTGTAGCTCTCGCTTAATTAGCGCCGCGCGCATTCGTGTCAAACGGATGAACGGATTCGAGCGGTCGAACCCCCATGGCTTTCTGGAATTGTCTGGTATTGCCAGGACGCAACAGTGACCGTGACCCCCGCTGTTGAAGTCCAAGGAATGGCCTCCTGGCACCGTTCAGGGTCGTCATGACGCAGCAGTCGCATGGATCCGCGGCGTTAACGTCCCAGGAGCAGCGCTTTTGACCTACATCCCCAGGACGCGCGTTTGTTTTGTCGTGGGCCCGGAAGAAGACGGGTCAAGTCAGGTACGGGCACGTAGCAGAGGAACTCTGGCGAATCATATCAAATTTACGCGGCTCCGATGGTGGTGTTGAGTTGTGTAGCGGTGGATCCGATATCTGCCTGCGCGGATCCGATTCCGGTGTTTCGGGCTCCGCATCCCGTCCCAATTTCTGGGCGGGTCCGCTTTCTTCTCTGTTCACACTCCTCTTATTACATGAAATTAGGGTGCCGACCGAACTCGTATCCACGGTTATCACCTTCCCTCGCATCCGACTGACATTGAGGGTTCGGTTATCAACTTCCCATGCTGGGTCCTGCGCTGTCTCGTGCACTTCCGTCAACTCTCCAGGCGCGCGGGCCCCTCTCAACACGAACACATCTCTCTCCTCCAGGGCGATGTCGAGCTGGGGGGCGGGGGGGAGAGAGGTGCACCTATGGTGCCCCATGGGGGGCCCCTGGGGCCCACGAGGGGCACGCAAGGTGGACGCTCCCCCCCCCCCCCCCCCCCCAATTGATCGCCCCCCCCCATTCAGCAACGCCCCAGACCTCCGAGGAAGAGTCCGCAGAGATCTCCTTTCCTTCTGTCGGGCCTGTCCCCCTACAGGGGGATTTCCGACGAAAAACGAAACATACCCAAGAATACCTCAAAAAAGGTCGTCAAAATATTCAAAAAATAGTCCCCAGGCTATTTTTGGATTTTTTTTTAATTAATTTTAGGGTATTTTTTATTTTTCGTCGAAAATCCCCCTGTAGGGGCACACGCCCGACATGATCCTATCCCTTCGCCCTCCATGAGAATGGCCGGTCCCCTCTCCAGCTCGCGGGCGGACGCAGACCGAGGGGGGAGCCGGAGCTCTGCGACGGCCGCTCCGGCGGCCGCCTTTGGCGCTGCCGGAGGCGGCGGGCGAGGGCGCTGCCGCGCCTCGGGCCGACGAGCTCGTCCTGGGGAAACGAGCCTTACGTCGGGCACGTCCCCCTACAGGAGGAATATCCATACATCTATATATATATATATACACATATATATATATATATATGTATATGTATATATATATATATATATATATATATATTGAAAAATAGAACGTAGTCTGGGGACGATTTTTCATTTTCTTGACAACTTCAGGGTACGGTTTGAACATCTATGTTTTCTTCGCCCAACACAGCCGCTTCTATAGGGGGGCACGCCCGGCCCAAGTCGGAAAAAAGCCCCGGGGGGCCAGGGCCCGCCTCCCTCGGCAGGCGACAGCACGCCGGCGGGCCCCGCCCCTCCCTCCCCTCCTCCTCCTTTCCCTCCTCCTCCTCCTCCTCTGCTCCTGCTCCGCCTCCTCCTCCTTCTCCTCCTGCTTTCACTGCTCCTCCTCCTCCTCGCTCCTCCTCCTCCTCCTCCTCCTCCGCACCTCCCCCTCCTCCTCCTCCTCCTCCTCCTCCTCCTCCTCCTCCTCCTCCTCCTCCTCCTCCTCCTCCTCCTCCCCCTCCTCCTCCTCCTCCTCCGGCGCTGCCGGAAAGAAAACAAAACAAAGAAACATCTGGCGCAATCGCCGTGCGATCCACCCCGTCAGCACTCAGGAGGGAAAAAACACCTCGACGCAATCGATCGCCGATTCCCCGGAAAATCTGAGAAAATATGGGAAGTGGGTTGGGAAGACGAAAACCCCCAAAATATGCAAAAAACAGATTGGGAATCCTGCGGTTTGCGTGTATCTGTTTGTGTGTCCCAGGGTCCCTTCAGTCACCTCGGGGACACACGGACCCCAGTCAATGCAAACCCGGGTCCGTCGGGCCTTGCAGGATCTTGCAGGAATCTGCGCGCTACAGTAGGGGCCCGACCACAAGAAACCTTCCGCGAGAAACCAGGACGTCCCTTGATGTTTGGTGCGGGACGCCACGCTTCCCATCGCAGAACCCTCGTAGCCCAAGAAGCTCAGGGCACCCTGAAGGCGAGCTGGGTGTTTCTTGGCATGGGTCTCCACTGTTCGAGTCGGAGATCAGCTACAGAATTGACTCTCCCCGGAATTGATTTTTCGTCGCATCCAGAAAGGAACGTGTTCGTGAATTGCGGCTTATCCCATAGGCGATTCGACGGAAACAACAGTTTTTCGGATGACATCAATTTTGCATTTGATCTCTCACTCGAACTGTAGCCCGGGTACAGGGCCCGGCCTCTCGCCGCCCCTCGGCCTCTCGCCGCCCCTCGGCCTCTCGCCGCCCCTCGGCATCGCCTCTGGGCAGCGATCCTTCCCCACACTCTTGGTGGGGGCTGCGCGCGCTCTCTCCAACGCAGGCCCTAAACCCTAAACCCGAGCATCTTCCTAGGGTGGAGGGCAACGGGTGAACTCTGAAACGCCGCTTCGACTCCCATGCTCGAGGCTTGAGCCTGCCAGAGGCGAGTCACCAGACGGCTCGATCTCCGAGGCGCGAACACCCCTTTTGGCCCTCACCGCCGGAGCCCTCCGCCCGGAGAGAAGGCCCAGCCAACCTGTAGAAAGCCCTCCAGGCGCCGCCCCTCGGCGCCCGCTTCCTGCACGGGCCCGCCGCCCCTCGGCCTCGGGCATAATAAGAAGAGGAGGAGGAGGGGGGGAGGAGGAGGGGAAGGAGGAGGGGGAGGAAGAGGAAGAGGAGGAGGAGGAGGAGGAGGAGGAGGAGGAGGAGGAGGAGGAGGAGGAGGAGGAGGAGGAGGAGGAGGAGGAGGAGGAGGAGAGGGAAGGAAGAGGGAGGAGGAGGCCCTGCTCGGCGCCTCGCCGCGCCTCAGCGCGCGCCTCGCAGCGCGCGCCTCGGCGGGCGCCCCGAAGGGCCGCGAGGCCGGGGGCCCCGCGCGCCCGCCGCGAGCGCTTTCTCCGGGCCGCGGGCCGCGCACGAGAGCGCTGGGGCGGGCGAGGGGGCGGCCTGGGCCTGCTCCTCCTCCTCCTGCTCCTCGCTCCTCCTGCTGCTCCTCCTCCTCCTCCTGCTCCTCGCTCCTCCTGCTGCTCCTCCTCCTTTTCCTCCTGCTGCTCCTCCTCCTCCTCCTCCTCCTCCTCCTCCTCCTCTTCCCTCCTCCTCCTCCTCCTCTCTCCTCTTCCCTCCTCCTCCTCCTCCTCCTCCTCCTCTTCCTCCTCCTCCTGCTCCTCCTGCTCCTGCTCCCGCTCCTGCTCCTGCTCCTCCGCTTTCCCTTCCTCCTCTTGTGACGTTCGGCAAACTCGGGTCGACCTGGATCGTAGCGTCAGTCTCTTCCTCCACCTTCACCTCCTCCACCTCTTAGTTGTCGCCGTCGGCGTCGGTGTCGTCGTCGTCGTCGCCCGTTCCCCCTCTGCTTCTCCTGCCCCCCCCCCCCCGCCACTTGCGTCACCGCCGTGGGGGGGGGAGGGCGCCGGGGGGCCGCATTTGCGGGGTTTGCCCGGGGTTGCGTGGGTTGCCTGGGAGTTGCGCCAAGTCGGGCATGTCCCTCTGCAGGAGGAACATTCAAAAATAGTCAAAAATAGTCGTGGGACGATTTTATGACTATTTTTGAATATCGGTTTGAACATTTTTTGACCCTTTTTTCATCGAAAATCCGCCTGTAGGAGGACACGCCCGACCTAAGACTTGCGTCGGGCCACCGCGTTGAGCGGCACTCCCTGCCGGTACCCCACTTCGCGAGCTCGTCGGGCGCTCCGCGGGACCTTCGAGAGGGCACGGTGCTGCATCGCCGCGCCCCGCCATCCCTCCTCTCTTCCCGGAAAGGTGACTTCGAGGTGGAGTAGGGGAGGGAGGGAGGGAGTGAGTGAGTGAGGGAGTGAGGTAGGGAGGGAGGGAAGGAGGGAGGAGGAGGAGGAGGAGGAGGAGGAGGAGGAGGAGGAGGAGTTTTAAACTCGCGTGCACACGCCCGAGAGTGAATGCCCCTGGTCTCGGCACCCCGCGCGGGCAGAACTGCCCGAGGCGGGGTGGGCCAGCGGCCTCAGCACTCGGCGTCGTACTCCCGCTCGGGAGCCCGCGGCGCGCTCGCGCCGGCACGACGACACGACACGACGGGGGGACGGGGACGCGACACGACCGAAGACGCGCGACACGACACGAAACGCACGACAACGACGGGACGAGCCGCCGGTCCCGCCCCAGGGCGGCGAGTGCAGGGTGGGAACCCTGCACCGCCCTGGGGGAGGCCACGGGACCTGGCGACCCCCCTGGGGAAGGAAGGCCGCGCTTATGGCGGCCGTCCCCAGGTGCGGGGGCTTGTACCCTGAAGGCCCGGTGCTCCCCGCCTGCACCAGGGGGCACACAGGCCCGACCCCCACTCTTGGGGGGCCCCTCCAGGGCGGAGGAGGAGGAGGAGGAGGAGGAGGAGGAGGAGGAGGAGGAGGAGGAGGAGAAGGTGGACGAAGAGCTCCATCTCCTCCCCTCCTACCCCCCCCCCCCCCGAGGAAGGGAGGGAGGACGGGGGGAGGGAGGAGACGAGGACAAACGACGAGGACAAGGGCCCCATTCGCAAGGACAGGAGCGGAGCCTCCGAAAGCTTCGGATACCTTCTGGTGACCTCGGAACAGTTTCGATAGCCTCCGAAAGCCTCCGAACACACCCGATTAACTCCGACAGCTTGACAACTTCCGAGAACCTCGATGGCCTTCGAACGCCTCCGAGAGCGCCCCAGTATTTTCGCAGCCATGCGAAAAGCAGATCCGATGACCTCCGAAGCTGTTTGGACTTAGTTGGCATCCTGCGGGAACATTCGAGAACCTCGGTGGCCTTGATCTTCAGAGGCCGACGACGACGTCGACGACGGCAAGGCCGACGACGACGACGACGACGATGACGGCGACGACATCGGCCACGTGGAAGACGGCCACGACGACGGCGACGACGACGTATGGCGACGGCGGCGACGAGGACGGCGACGGCGACGGCGACGTTGCCGACGAGGTCGTGATCGTCGCGACGTCGTCGTGATCGTCGTCTTCGTCGTCGGCGTCGGCGTCTTCGTCGTCGTCTTCGCCTTCAGGGTTGTCGTCGTCCTCGTCGGCGGCGGCGGCGGCGGCGGCGCCGCCGCGGCCCCCGTTCCAGCGGAGGCCCTGCGGAAGCTCGGCGCCACGGAGCCCGCGCTGGAGACCGCGAGGCGCCCGGCGCCGGGGCCGTGGGGGAAGGAGCACGGTTCCGGGCGCCTGTCAAGCGGTGGCGCGGGCCCTCCTCCTCCTCCTCCTCCCTCCTCCTCCTCCTCCTCCTCCTCCTCCTCCCTCCTCCCTCCTCCTCCTCCTTCTCCTCCTCCTCCACCTCCTCCTCCTCCTCCTCCGCGCGAAGCGACCTGGCTCGCCTATAGTCCCACCAAAGAATGTCCCGAGATCCTTTTGCGACTTGCACGGAAGGTTCTAAGAGAGCATTTCTGGCTGAGTCTGTCTTGTTTCCACACATCGGGCTCGTGTTCTGAGAACTCTGTTTTTTGTTATTCGGACATTTCTGGGTTGTGAGGACATGTCGTGGTAGGCCTATAGGGATGTTGGGACGGTCGGCCCCTGCTCAAGCCTGGCACTTATGCCAGAGGAGGGAAAGGTACCGATACCGGTGCCCTTCCCTCGGTTTCGCCTTTTCGGGGCCTCCTCTGAGGTCCTCGTCGCCACCGCTGGGTTCGCCTCGAAGTCGTGGTCAGAACGCACCCCGGGAGAGGTCCTGGGAGTAACGGTATCGGTGCCTTTGGTTTTCCCTGCTGTGGTCGGGAATTTTGGGATTTCGTGTCGCTCCGCCTGTTCTGGCCCACCACGTTTCGGTCTGACAGGCTAGCCACTTCTCGGTCCCCCATCGTCAACGTTCCGAGCTTTCCCAGCCTCCGGCCCCCCAGGCGGAACGAAGCGCTACCCGCGTGCAAGGCCTAGCGTGTCGCCCGGGCCGCCGCCTCGACACGATACGCAAGAGCTCCCGCACGTCATGCGATTGATATTGCGAGCGACGTTGAAGATCGTGCTGGTTTCGAACCCAAATGTTCGGTCACATCTTAGCGCGTCTGGGGAATGTCGGGCGCTGGTGTCGGTCCCACTTGGAGAGATTTTCGAGCACAGATTCGGTCACTACACCCCCCTGTGAGAGAGAGGATGTTGCGTGCCACGATGATTGTGTCCAAGATGTCGCGGGATCTTGTCGATGCCGATCTTGATCATGGTCAATGGCTGCCGTCGCCGATGAGGGATGATTATCCACGAGTTCTCGATGACCATGACGGACGATGACCAAGACTGGCACCGACGTTTCCGCGTTCAGTCTTGGTCATGTCGTCGTTCCCTTTCTCTCCAGGGTAGCGGTGCTTCGGCTTCGCTCTCAAGCGAAGACCCCGACATCCTCTTGTCGATGAGAAATGGCGTCGGACGGTTTTTGGCAGTTGCTGGCGTCAGGGGGCCACTCGGCGGTCCCCAGGGCCGTCCAAAGACAGACCCAGGATGAGGAACGTGCCCCCGGGAAAATGTCCAGATCTCTGGAGAGCAACGTCGTAAGAAAATCACGACGCCGGATGTCTGCGTACCAAGCGTTTTGATGTACCTCTTCTTGCCCACCACAGAGCATCATGCTATTCTTTGTTGTATGAGTCATATGAAATCAGAACGTGTCTTCATGATACGGCTTTGGTGCAGGGCAGCGCTGTTCTGTAACATGTAAGGGTAGGTATTGTTCTTGCTTTGCGAGCATGCTCTGGCTTGCTGGGATACCCGGACTTCAGGTTTCTGCTCGACATTGGTTTCGCTTGGTGGTGACAATACCACAGCTGCCACTGGCGTCTTGCCTCCAGGGAGGCCGCGTGGAGCCGTGTTGTATTGTCGAAAGTGCCAGAGGTCCCCCTGGGATTCGACTCCTCGGCGAAGAAAGGGCGACCATATCACACCTCGTGCTCGTGGCCTGCGACACGTGTGCCACATGCCCACTGTGCCACCTGCTAGCGCTATGGGGTTTGTTAGCTTACGCACATGGCGGCAGTGTCACACGTTGGGTTGTTTGCATTCGGCACGTGCGTGGCACGGCGTGTCAGCCGTGCTACGCACCTCGCTTCAAGGGAGGCCGCGTGGACCCATCGCTTAGACCGCGTAAGATCGCCCAGGCTTGAACAGCACCAGAAGAAGGATCAGGTGTGAACGCATTGGTTGTGCAAGTCAGCAAAATCACCACACATCGTGATTTTAGCATTCGACACTGTCCAGCCCCATAACACGTTTCGCATCCGAGGAGATTTTGCAACCCACATTCGTTCATCCTTCTGGGACTCACTCGGCATGATTGTTCAGCAAGTTTGCGAATCTCAGCCTTGAGCCGAAGCTTCCCAACGTGTTGGACAAAATCAGTTTGACAGTCGATTGACTAACACAGCGACGCAGCGTCAAGATCGCTATAGAACCGAGCCGTGTTGGCCCAAGCGCCTGGTTCTTGTTAAGTTGCCAACGAGCCATCGTCCCACCATTTTGTGCATCACGCGACGGTCTGTTCCACACGCAAGGTCGCGCTTATATTTTGCAGTTGTGCCGTCCATGCTGACAGAGTTCGTCTTGACGCATCTCCAGACATCGCGCGGTCTCACGGGACAGTCTGCACGCTCACGGAGCAGTCACGCGTGGGCCTCCCAGGACACCAGTCCGGAATCGGTCAAGACGAACAGATCAGCGCAGCTGGACGGCGAGTTCCACGTTGTACATGAAGCTGTCTCGAGCGGGGTTTGTAGCGCAGCGCGGGCGAAGCCCATGAACGTCAATAGCGGAAAGTGATGGGCATTTTTTCTTCCACCACTACAATATGAGAGAGGAGAGGATGAGGAGGTCCTCCTCTTTCTCCTCCTCCTCCTTCTCCTTCTCCTCTCTCTTTTTGTTCTTTCTTTCTTTTTTTTTTTTTTTTTTCTCTCTCTCTCTCTCTCTCTCTCTCCTACATATGGTAGCGGTGGTGGAAAATGGGCCAATCAGAAAGACCAGTCACAGGACACGGCAGACTGCACGACATCGGTCCGATTGGCGAGGAGCCGGCAAGAGCCACACATTCATACTTTTGAGAGCTGCGACGAGGTCCGCGTGGGCGGTGAGATCCTTGGCGACGCCAGAGCGTGGCTTGCAGAAGGTGTCCGGGTGGATTTGAAGCTCCTCGACGTCAAGGTGGTCGAGCTTGGTTTCCCAGGTGACGTAACCTTCAACGTTGTTGAGATCGCGTGAACGGATCGGGTTGCTGGCGAACCAGGAAGGCTCAGGAGCATCGTAAGGTTCCAACAGGCCATCTTGTCGAGCGGAGAAACCGCGAAACGGCCAAAGTGTTTTCGGACATCTGACCGCGCGGTCGTTGATCTTGACGCTTCGTAAAGTTGGAGGCGCCTCTAAGTTACGTTCTCTCCTCGCCTCGCACCGCATTTCGGTGCTGATGGTATTCACGGGACTAGTTGGTTGGTGCAGATGTAGTTTGCACGGGCAGGGTTTGGTGGAAATCATGCCAGCACAGGCGAATCGTAAACACATGTTTGCCAGAGCTGGACCTCTGTGTAAATGTACATATCCAGCCGATCTCCTGTACACGAGATTGGTGACTAACGCGCGATCTTGGATTTGGTCGCACGCTTAGCTTGAACAGCGAACACCAGTCTGGAGAAACCACATCCAAGTGCTTGCGGAAAATTTGAGTGGACAGTAATGGGGAGAGCCAATTTTGACCCATGGGCTCGTAGCGCGAAGAAGAAGACGAGAGAGGAGGACGATTGCAAGTGAATTGCGAAAGCGATAGCAATCGATCTATATATATGTATATATATATGCATACCTGTGTATCGGAGTCACTACATGCACATCGAGCTCATGTTTAACATGCAAGCCTACCTGCGCATCGACATGATACCCTTTTGCAACTCAAAATGGAAATCGAGGTGCAAACTTGATGGCAAATCGTAATGGACATCGGAACGCACAGCAGGCTGCACATATACATTGGAATGCAGATCGAAGTTCAAGTCGAAGGTGATGTGTGGATCGAATATCGAATGTACATTCGGAGTCTAGGTCGAAACGAATATATTCGTATAAACTGAAATGCGAATCGAACTGCACACAGGCATGACACCTGACGTGCAGACCTATATGCAAGTCTAACTGCACATGCGCATGTGAACCGACACTCGGATTATAATGCACATTGACCCTGAAATTGAGATGCAAGGCGTAATGCAACACTTTCAATTCTGGTTGCACTAGCACTGAAACCTGGCATGCGCATCGGAATGGCAATCAGACAGACTTTCAAACTGTTCATACGCATACAGATCGGAACGCAAATCCTCACGCAAGCCGAAATGCAATTCCGTAAGCACATCCAGTTTCAGATCGAGGCGCCGGTCGAGATGCGAATCGAAACGCATTGGTCATCACCCTTCCACGGCCTCCGATCTAGTCTTCGCCCAGAGAGGGCCCATGCGTTATGGTACGGATATGTTCGTCGCCCATGGCTTGGGGGCGCGGCATCCCACTGCCCCAGGGGCCGCCCACCCCCCCCCCTCCCGAGACCGCCCCGAATCCCTGCACGAGACCTGGGTGGCCTTCGGGCGGCCCAGGGACGGCCTGGCGGCCACCTGGTCACCGTCGTCGTCGCCAGCGTCGCCCCCAGAGCTCCCACGGATGGATGGCTTCCTTTTGGTGTTTCTTTTGATGCAGGCATTTGGGGGCTGTTTCTAGCCTCGACCATGAACAATGGATCCGGGAAGAAGTGCTACCCCCTGAGAAGGGTCACCAAGGATTGAGAAGATCATTTCGTCGAAGGTCTGTGTCGTCGTCGTCGTCCTTCTCGTTCTCCTCCGTCTCGTCCAGGTCGGCGTCGTTTTCGTCGACCCCTCCTGCCCTGTTTCCTCCACCTTGTCGTCGTCGTAGTCGTCGTGGTTATCGCCTTCGCGTTCCTCCTGGGCGCTTGTTCAGAATCCTGTAGCTGTGACCAAATGAGGCTGCGTTTTTGTTCACTGTATCACGACGTCATGTGCTGGGCGGGAAAGATCCGAGGGAATTTCTTGATCCTCGCATTATGTGCCAAACATTGCTCTGTGTCTCCGTTTGGAGGCAAGCTCGATGTGGTGGTAGCGGATGTTCTCAAAAAGCGAGGGCCAGTTTTGATTTCTCATTGTTGAGGGGTGCCCGGGAGGAAGGGCAGAAATTTGGTAATATGGGCAGGTCCAGGAGAGGGAGGGGGCGAACGTCAGGAGGAGGAGGAGGAGGAGGAGGAGGAGGAGCTCCGACGAATCGGAACAGTCCGCAGGTACGAGCTGCGAGGTGGAGGGGGGTGGGGAGGCGGGGCAGGAGAGGCCGCAGGAGAAGGAGGGCGAGGAGGATGGTGAGATGGCGGCAGAAGTCCGGCACGGGGCCGACAGTGGAGGAAGGAGGCGAGAACATTTGGAGAATGCAGGAGGAGAACCATCAGGAGGAGGGCGGAGAGAGGGAGGAAGGAGGAGGGAGGAGGTAGGAAGGAGGAGGGAGCGAAGAGGAGAAGGAGGGAGGAGGGAAGAGGAGCGGGAGGAGGAGGGAGGAGGCGGAGGAGGGATGGAGGAGGCGGAGGAGCGAGGAGGAGGAGGAGGAGGCCAGACGTGGCCGCCCTGCCACCGCGGTGACCGGTGCCGGGGGGGGGGAAGTGAGGAGGAGGAGGAGGAGGAGGAGGAGGAGGAAGAGGAGGAGGAGAGGGAGGGGGAGGAGGGGGAGGAGGGGTGCGAAATCGGCTGCTTGCCGCTGGTCTCCGCCTCGCCGCCGGGCGGTTCCCTCGAGACATGGGTCGCCTGCGGCGCCAGGAGGCGCCGGGGAGACCAGCTGCGTAAGCTGAATCGCTACCCCCCCGGCTTTGCTGACCATCTCCCCTTCCGTCCGACCCGAGCGTGCTAACCCCCCCCTCGCTCTGCTATCTGCCATCTGCCCCCCCCCGTTCGTCGTCCGACCCGAGTGCAGCCCGAGGGGGGGGGTACGGCGCCGACGTGCTGCGCGGCAGGAAGTGTGGCACAGGGAGTGAGCTGCGCTGCATCTTCGGGGGCCGTGCCGGCCCTGCGAGCCGGTGGTCCTCTCGTTTGCTCCGACGCGGGCTTGGCGCAGATTATCGGCGATGATTCGGCGCGGGCCCGGCGCGGACGGCGGCGCGACGGGACCGCCAGGGCCCTCCGAAGATGCAGCAGAAGGCGCGGGCTGGCAGGGGGGAGCAGGGAAAGAGGGAACGGGATCCCAGTTCCCTTCGTCTCCCACGGGATGAGGGAAGGGGAACGGGATCCCAGCTCCCTTCGCCTCCCACGGGGTGAGGGAAAGAGGGAAGGGATCCCAGTTCCCTTCGCCTCCCTCGGGCGGGGGGTGGGGAAGGAAGGGATCCCAGTTCCCTTCGCCTCCCTCGGACGGTGGGGGTGGGGGGGGGATCCCATCTCCCCTCGCCTCCCTCGGGCGGGGGGCGGAAGGAGGAAGGGATCCCAGTTCCCCTCGCCTCCCTCGGGCGGTGTGTGTGTGTGGGGGGGGGGGGCACAGGCTCGGGCCGAGCCCACCCGCCGCCGCCGCCGCGCGCGCGCGCTCCGCGTGCCCCGCGCGGGCGCGGGCCCCGCGGCGCGTGCTCGCGCCGCCCGCTCGCCGAGGCAGCGGGTCCGCGAGCTGGAGGCGAGCGTCCAGGACCTCTCCTGGCCCCCTCCTGGCCCCCTCCTCCTCCTCCTCCTCCTCTCCTCCTCCTCCTCCTCCTCCTCCTCCTCCTCCTGCTCCTGCTCCTCCTCCTCCTCCTCCTCCTCCTCCTCCTCCTCCTCCTCCTCCTCCTCCTGGGGGGGCGTATACCATGACCGAGGCCATGAGATTTCCCAGATGTCGTCCCAGCATGGCGCCCCCGGGGCCTGCGGGCCCTCCGCGAGGGCTTCCCTCCGCCTCGCTCTGGGGTGCCCTCGTTTTTGGGAAGGCCGTGGAGCGACACACGGGACCTGTCGCGTGCTCTGCTTGCGTCGCAGGTTTCTGTGCCAGCGGTGTTTGGGTGAGAAGATGTACAGTCGAGTTGGATTAGTAGGTCGACCCTGCCAAATCAAGGGTGCCCCTTTGTCCTGTACTTGAACATGTCCCCTATGTCCAGCAACATTCATATTCCAAGACCGTCCTGGCGCTGCTGATTCTCATCATCCTCAGCCTCCATTCCCTTTCCGTCCCCCGCCCCCCTGTCCCCATCCGCCTTCGCCTCCTTTCGCCTTCTCCTCCTCGTTCACATCCTCCTTCTCCTTCTCTTTCTCTCCCTGCTTCAAGTCCTCATCCCCCTCTCTCTCTCTCCTCCTCCTCCTCCTCCTCCTCCTCCTCCTCCTCCTCCTCCTCCTCCTCCTCCTCCTCCTCGCTATAGCTTCTCCCTGCAGCTCTACGCATTGGTGAAGTTGGGATGCACTGTTGCCCTCGCTTGTTCGCCTTTCACACTTGCAGCAACAGTTTGCAACAGGTACACGATTCAAACTGTGGGACTCTGGCGTGAGACTTTCTCAAGTTTCACGGCGTGGGAACTTTGACGCGCAAAAGTTATTCGATCAGAGGGCGAGATTTTGTTGTATCCAAATACTGTTTCCCCAACAAATGTTCATCTAAATTCATGGCCTGAAGTTTAAGGAACTGAGCTGCACGGAAGGACGGCGTCTGTTGTTCATAGTAGGGATTTCGGTTGGAATCTTGTTTTCCAAACCCAAGAGAACGATTGAATTCCTTTGAGCGGTTGCAGAGGCCTGCGAGAGCTTTCGGAGAGTCACCAGAATCGGCTCTTTTCTCCGTTTCCATCACCTTGCCTCTTCTCCGAGCCGGCATGTGCGAACACCTGATTCAGCAATTGCACAATCCGTCAAGCACATGACTACGTCGAAGAAGGTCTGCGATTTCCCCCGCGCCCCGGCGCGATTCTCCCTTCCCCCCCCCCCGCCCCCACACCCCAAAGGGCCACACCCCGCACGGGGATCCGCATCGGTATCCGCGATCCTCCCCTCCAGTTGCCTCTTCTTCTGCCTCCTCCGTCCCTCCCCCCCATCTCCCCTGTACTTCCTCCCTCCCTCCTGCTTCCTTCGCCCCCTATGCCCTTTTCTCTTATCATCCTTCCTCCTACACCCTTCCTCCTACCTCCTCCTCCTCCAAAGCCGGGGGCAAGCTTTAAATCGGGCCTATCCCTCTACAGGGGGAGTATTCCAAAACAGTGAAAAATAGTCGGGGGAAGATTGTTTGAGGATTTCTTGTTCATGTTTGATTATTGTTCGAGAATGTTTGATTTTTCGTTGAAATTCTGCCTGTAGGGGGGCGTGCCCGACGTAAGGCAAGCTCTTGGAATAACCACTGCGCCCCCGCGCGCGCACGGGGGAGCGGTAAATTACAGCACCTGGCGCGCCTTGCTAGAGGCACAGCACAGCCCTTTTCTCTTGTCTTCCTTCCTCCGACACCCTTCCTCCGACCTCCTCCTCCAGAGCCGGGGGCAGGCTCTTGAAATAACCCTTGCCCCCCCGCGCGCGCGCACGGGGGAGGGGTAATTACAGCACCCGGCGCGCCTAGCCCGAGCCCCCCCCCCTGCCAGGGGTGGCCGCAGAGGAGCACGGCGAGGGGAGGCGGGGCCGCCAGGGGCCGCACCCAGCGCCGCGCCCTGCTCGACGAGAGTATATCCAGGAACCGACCACAACGATGTTCCAATCTCGAAGAAGAAAGAAATATATAAACAGAGACGTTTGCTGCTCCGCGCAGATTTCTTGGATCCGCGCCTGGGCCCCCCGGCGGCCAAAGTCTATGTTTATGTGTTTTTCTCGCCTATCGTAACGAAAGTGTGTTTACAACGGACAACGAAACGACTTCCAACGTTTGAAACAAACGTTTCAAACAAAGCCGGAGCCAAACGGAAATAAACGACGAAAGTATCCTTACGTTGGCCTTGTTCCCCTACAGGAAGAATATTTTAAAAGAGCCAAAAATGGTCTGGGGACTATGTTTCGACCCTTCTTGATGTTTTCTTCATTTTCCGTCCAAAATCCGCCTGTAGGAGGACATGCCCGACCTACAATTATCCAGGAACCGACCACAACGATGATTAAGACGAAATTGCGCTCACAAGGGACGATGAAACGAGGCCCAACGTTTAAAACGAACGTTTAAAACAACTCTAGAGCAATAATGGAAACAAGCGACGAAACGGGGCGTTTAAAACAACAATAAGAACAGCAACAACTACAACAACAACAGCAGCAACAACGAACAACGAAACGAAGCAACAACGAAGCACTAAACGAAAAACAAAACAAGTGACCTAACCAAGCTAAACATCGTTGTGGTCGGTCCTTGGAAAAGTACCCCCGCAAGGCACCCGACTGGCAGCAGAGGTTCGGAGGCGGGTCCAGGAGCAGGAGGTCGGACCTCGAGAAGTGCATCCCTGGATATTTCGGACGGGGCCAGGGCGAATCCATTTCTGAGCGCTCCGGAGCGCTCTCGGAGCGTTCCGGAACGCTCCGAGGAGGCCGCGGCGCCCGGGTCATCCTCCAGAGCCGCTGGATCTCAGAGATTCTCGATCTATCGCCCGATTGTATCACCCTCGTCCTGGCTTCGTCTCAGTGTTCGCAGGGCCGACGCGGCCGAGGCACGGGTGTGTGAGGGCACGGCCGTGTGCACCTCGGTCTGCTCTGTAGCAGTTAGGGTGTCCCTCCGGACCAGCACCAAGCATGCAGCCGGCATGGAGGCAATAGAGCGCGGCTCCGGAATAAGCCGGCTGCCCGCAGGAGCGGCCCTTCGCCAGAGTGGCCTTCCGTGCGCGGCTTTCGTCAGGAGGGAAAGAAACACACAGACACAATTAATCGTCGACTCTCAGTAAAAGATGGGAACATATGAGAAGTGGGGGGAAGACAAAAACCCAGAAAATATAGGAAAACATGGGAAGTGGGGGGGAAGACAGCAACCCAGAAAATATGGGAAACTATGGGGAATCCTTTCATGTGTGTGTGTGTGTGTGTGTGTTTCGTTGTGTGTCCTGGGGCCCCTTCCTTTCGGGGGGCGCCGCGGGGCCCCATCTGTCTCAAGCAGGCGGGCCGCCTCTCTGTCGCACCGCACGCCGCGGCCGGCCGGCCGCGCTCCAGAGGTTGCACACGGCTGCCGCGGGGGTCGCTCCTGCGCGGAGCCGAAGGAACTGTGAGGAGGGCCCGGGCGGAACTCGGTGGCCGTGGGGGTCGTCCCTGCGTGGGGTTACACGGCCGTGTGGTTCGTCGTTCCGGCGTGGGGGTCGTTCCTGCGTGGGGGTCGTTCCTGCGTCGTTCCTGCGTGGGGGTCGTTCCTGCGTGGGGGTCGTTCCTGCGTGGTGGCCGTGTGCCGCGCTCCACAGGTTACACGGCTGCCGTGGGGGTCGCTCCTGCGTGGAGCCGAAGGAACTGTGAGGAGGGCCCGGGCGGAACTCGGTGGTGGACAGATCTCCTACCCTGACACGTCGATGAAGGAATTGGCCGTTTGCGCTTCGCGGGAGGGCGTCGCGGCCGTCCTTTTTGCGGGTCCGGGTCCGTCGGTTTCGGTCCCAGGCCGTTTTCACTGAGGGGAGGTCTACTAAAGGGAGGTTCGTCCACCGCCGAGAACCGGTTGCCGGACCAAGCGATGTCGGGGGCTGGGCCCAGGCTTTCAGTCCCCCGACATCGTGGGGCTCTCTTGTGGCTTTCTGCTTCTGTCAGAACACTCCTGCGGAACAGAGGCTCATCCCTCCATCCTCCCCTCCTTCGTCTTGCAGTCTAGGCGCTGAGCTGAGGACCACTTTGGGCTCAGGGCTCAAGTTTCCGGGTCGTTCCACAGGACTAGGTCGCGGAACCCACTCGAAGCCGAGGCTTGCCGTGGCCAGAACAAGCCCCTTCGTTTCTGATTCCGCTTTCCTCGTGGTAGCACCATGACTGCACTCCCCCGCAAGCGCTCCGCAGGAGTCCTCCGCTCTCGCGGCGCAGGCGCAGCGCCAGAAGGACTCGGCCCCCACCGCTGCCAGGGCACAACGGAGAGCGGGAAGGACAAGAGAGTGGGGGAGAACGAGCGGGGAGGAGGACGAGTAGGGGGGACGAGGATTGGCGCTTCCAGGAGGGAGTCTTGAGTGATGGGCGCTTAAGCACGAATGGCCTCAACCAGTGAAGGTTCAGCTTGAGATCCATCTTCCATCCTCAGGACCCCATGTCACATGTCCCATCCCTCGGGGCACGAGTGCCTGCTGCGCGCAAGAGATTCGCCAAAATGACCAGCCGTGAGAGCTCACGATGGACCACCCAGTACTGGCTCGCCGGCGTGGGTTTTGCCCCTCGCGCGACCCTCCTCAGCTTCGCGCCAAAGGTCACTCTTGCTCGGGGTCACTCTTGCATGTAGCCGAGAGTGAGGAAGCTTGGTGAGGGAGGAGGAGGAGGAAGAGGAGGAGTAGGAGGAGCAGGAGGAGGGCCAGGAAGGACAGGGAGACGAAGATGACGAGAATAAGCGAAGGAGGCCCAGAGATCCAGTGGCTCGAAAAAGATTGAGACGGCTGGTGTTTCGCCATTCTGGCTTTTCGAGGGCTGGTTTCGGGCCCCAGAGCCGTCAAACAGCGATTCGGAATGAAAAGCAAGGGGAAGGGGGTCCAGGGTATGGGGCCCCCATGTCTCGACTACATCGCGCCGACAGATCTCTAGGGAGGAGGAGTAGACAAGTGAGAAGAGTAATGGGCGCTGAAAGGGAGCAGGAGGAGGAGAAGGAGGAGGAGGAGGAGGACGACGACGACGACGGCGATGATGTGGGAGAGGGAAGACGCTTCAGGAGGAGGACGGAGAGAGGGAGGCGGAGCTGGAGATGGAGGAGGAGAAGGAGGAGGCGAGCGAAGAGGGGGAAGAGCATAGAGGAGGAGGAGGAGGAGAGAGGATTGCCTGTTGGGCCCGCGGGCCCAGGCGTGGGAGGGAGGAGCAACGAGAGGGAGGAGCAGCAGTGGGCCTGAGGAGGGGGATCTTTACGGAGGTCCCTCGATATGTGTGTGCGACGGCTTGGGTCGAGGGGATCATCCATCGGAGGTGTCTGGAGCTTTCAGTTGGGGGGAGGGAGGAGAGGACGAGCAAAAGGGGGGGGATGAGCAGGGTGGATGGATGGGAATGGGAAGAGGAGGAATCTCTGGAGACGAAGGAAGAGGAGGCGTTGGAGGAGGAGGGAGAGGGGAGGAGGGAGGCCAAACGGGAGGAACAGGCAGAGTCAGGGAATCAGACGGGAGACAGCGGAGCAGGAGGAGGAGGATGAGCAGGCAGAGAAATGAATGGCAGAAGGGGGAGGCGGGGTGTTGGATGGTAGAAGGAAGGGGATGAAGGAATGTCAGAAGGAGAGGATGCAGGGCAGGAGAAGGGGGAAGGAGAGGGTTGGCAGTGAAGGTGGGGTGGTCGGACGGAAGAGCAGGAGGAAATGATGAGGAGGAAAGAGGAGGGATGAGGAGGATTGAGGAGGAGAGGATGCGGAGTGAACGCCTGGAGCTGCTCCACACTCCAGCGTCCTCAACGGTGCATGTGGGCCACCAAACAGTTGTGTGATTGCATGGTAGCAGTCTTCTGGTGGTCCTGGCAAGCATCGGATAAACACTTGCCACCAGCTCCGCGTCTTTTGTCCATTTTCTGAGCACACCGGAAGGAAGCAAAACACCTGCGTAATCGTAGTAATCATTCTTGACCCCGCTTAATGTACATACCAACAAGATCACACTACGGGTGGTACGGAGAGTCAGGAGGATGGGTTCAGCTTTCGGTTTGCGATTGGCGTCATATTGGATTCGCAATATATCTACTTATCCATCTAACGATCGCGCTATTCATATATTGATCTCCCCTATCGACTGGTCCCAGTTACGATTCACCGATCCCCGTATCGAATTGTTAATCGGTCTCACTCTCTTGCTGTCTCCATCTATTAACTTACGATCTAACAGTACAAATCAAACCATCTATATATATATATATATATATATATATATATATATCTCGAGAGAGAGAGAGAGAGAGAGATACGTAGCACCCCGCATATGCGGATAAGAGTGAGGGGGCGATGGGGACGTCGGCAGTTTGTGAGACTCTGGAGAAGCCCGCCGCAGCCGCCAAAATTTCACAAATTGTACAACGAGCCCGCCGCAGGCTCCGATTTTTTCGTTAAACCAATGTGGGTAGGTCGCGTGTGGGTCGCAAATGGGTCGCGGGTGAGTCGCGGGTGGGTCGCGGGTGGGTCGCGGGTGGGTCGCAGGTGCAGAGGGTAGAAAATCCACCCCTTATGATCATCACCCCGACAAGCGAAGCCGTTTAGTAAACGCATAACTGAACGGAACAAAGCAGGGCTGTTTAGTCATCGCCCAGGGCCGTTTAGTAAACGCCAATTGTCGGGTCCGGGCAGTTTTTCCTCTTTTGAGGGTGGGTAGCCGGGTGGGTCGCGGGTGGGTCGCGGATGGATCGCGGATGCGTCGCGGGGAGGGTCGCGGGGTGGGTCGCGGGGTGGGTCGCGGGTGGGTCGCGGGTGGGTCGCGGGTGGGTCGCGGGGTGGGTCGCGGGGTGGGTCGCGGGGTGGGTCGCGGGGTGGGTCGCGGGGTGGATCGCGGGTGGGTCGCGGGTGGGACGGCGACAATTAACAATAATAACAAAAACAACATCAACAACAACATCAACAACAACATCAACAACACCAACAACAACGCAACAAGCAGAATTATCACCACGAGGTCCTTATCCAGCCACACACCCAGGGACAATGAATGACCGTTCGGTCCCCTCACTCTGATATTCCTCTCTCTCTCTCTCTCTCTCTAAATATGTATATAGATATGCATTCTATATGTTTATATCGAAGACGCCTACGGCGAACCACCGCCGACCCCTGCCCTTTGGACGCGCCGATGTGGCCAAGCTCGGTGCCCAGCGCTTCTGGGGCACTCTTGGGGCCTCCTGGGAGCTTCCCGAGGGCCTCTTGGAGGCCTCTTTGGGGCCTCCATGGGCCTGTTTGGGAGCTTGGGGGCTTCTTTGGCCGTCTTCAGGCGTTCCTGGCCTGCCCGACGCCGTCGGAAGCTGTCTTGATGGCGTCTCTGAACTGTCTTGGACCCTCTTTGGGCGCTTCAGGGCCGTTTTCAAGGCCATCTTGGGCGCCTTGGAGGCCTCTTGTGCCGCCTTGGAGCCCTCTTCTAGGGGCTGTCTCAGGAGCATCTTGGGCCGTCATTGGGCCATCTTGGAGGCCTCTTGGGCGCTCTTGCGGCGATCTCAGTAGCCTCTTGGGCCCTCTCGGGCCGTCGGATGGCCGAAAATGACTAAATGCGATCATCCGTCAACATTTTTTAAATGGCAATTCAATGATTTGGGCCTCTTCTGGCCTTCCTGGAGGACCTCTTGGGCCGCCTTGGAGGCCTCTTGGGGGCCTCTTGGGCCGTCTTGAGCCATCGTGGGCCGTCTTGGGTGCACTTTGGGCCCTCTTGGGGCCACCTTGGGCCTTCTTGGATCCATCTCGGCAGTCTTGGAGTCCATCTTGGCTATCTCGGAGGCTATCTTGGGGGCGTCCTGGAGAGGAAACACCCACGACCCGCTTAGTTTCCCAAGCTTTCGCCGGCTTTTCGGGTGGCCGGCCGGCTGAGCCGAAGCGCCAGGGAGAGTTCCCCAGAACGAAGACACAACAATCCCAGGCATCTAGCGCGCCTTTCACTTCTGTGGCAAAACCATAGGGGGCGGCGGATAGAATGGCCTTCGGGCCATACCGCCACCGTGCCTGGATTGTGGGTCTGAGGCGTCTAGAATTTTCGTTGGGATCTCGTCGATGCCTCTCGGCGGCCTCCTGGAGGCAGTTTTGATGCCTCTGGGGGGCTGTTCTGAAGCCTCCAGAGGCATCTCGGGGGCCTCGTGGGGGGCTTTTGGGGACATCTTGGGGCCTCTCGGGGGCCTTTTGGGTTCTCATGGGCGCCTCTTGGGGTGGAAGGCTTCGATTTTCAGTGCGTGTCCCCCCTCTTGGGGTTGTCCTCGCATGGGCCGTCTTGGGGCCATCTTGAGCCGTCTTGAGGTCCTTTTGTGGACCTCTGGGACCGCATTGGAGCGTTCTAGGGGGCCTCTTGAGACGTCTGGGAGCGCCGGATGCTCGAATCGTGGAGAACTCAACAAACAATGAAGCACCAAAGTACAGTGAATGATGCTGGCCTCCTGGGGCCCTCTCGGGGAGGCTCTCGGGGTTCTCATGGGGCGTCTCGAAGGCTTCTTGGGCCGTCTTGGGGTCATCTTGGGCAGTCTTGGCCCCATCGTGCGACGATTCGGGGCGCCCTTCGACCGTCTGGGCGGCCTCTTGGAGCCCGCTTGGCTCGTCTTGGGCCCCCTGCGGGCCCTAAAAAGTCCTGCGACAAGATCCGGCGCGCCCCAGCAGGCACGCGCCGAGCCCCGAGGGTCTTGGCACTTTTGGGGGCGAGGGCCCCTTCCAAGGATCCTGAGGATTGAGGGCTGAGGCTTACGGCATTGGGCCAAGGACCTGAGGATTCTTTTGTTTCGTGCTTCAAAGGCACTGTGGCGAATTCAAATATACATATATAGATATATGTATGTATAGATATATACACACATATATACATATATATATACATACATATACATACATAATGTATGTATGTATGTATGTATGTATGTATGTATGTATGTATGTATGTATGTATGTATGTATGTATGTATGTATGTATGTATGTATGTATGTATGTATATATACACGTTCACACCACGATGTGCATGTCGGCTCCGCTATCTACCCATCTATGGATGGGGCGACTGCGGGCCAACCGCGGGACAACCCACCACATGACAACCACGGGGCAGCCGCGGGACAGCCACTGGACAACCGCGGGACAACCACGGGACAGCCACGGGACAGCCACATGACAACCACGGGACAGCCACTGGACAACAACGGGACACCGTGATCGTATAGCCGATCGGTTTCTACCAGGATCACGATGAACCCATCGGTCGAGCTCACCATCTATGGGTCCCACAATTGACCCATCGAACTCCCGATGCATCTACCTATCCATGCATATCCATAGTGGCATGGGGCGATGCATTGCGGGGCCGATACATCGGCATCCTCGTCCTCGTCTGTGTCGTCTGCTTCGTCCCTGTCCTTGTCGTCCTCGTCGTCCCCGTTGTCCTCGTCGTCGCCCCTGTCCTCGTCCTCGTTTTCGTCCTTGCTCTTGCCGTCCCTTTCGTCATCCTCGCCCTCCACCGCCCCTATTTTCACCCGTGTCCCCGCTCACCCCCCCTCCCCAAAGTCCTCGTCCTCTTCGTCGTCCTCGTCGTCGTCCCCGCCGCCGCCGCCTCCGCGGCCGCGGCGACCGCGGCGACGACGTCAAGGACTTCGACGACGACGCCGACGACGCCGACCGCGACGACGGCGCCGCTGCCGCCCTTCGGCGGAGGAGGCGCTGGCCGCCGAGGTGCGGCAGGGCCGCGACCGGGCGCACGGGCTGCGGCAGCGGCGCTCCAAGCTGCTGGACGGGGGGGGGGTGGGGCGGGCGGTCAGGGGGGAGGGGTTCAAGCGCAGCACGAGGGGCCGCCACCCTCAGACATGCTCGCGCCGTTCGACAAAAATCAGGGCTGGGAGGTGCTTCGCCGTGTGCGCCCTTTCGGGGCCCTCGCTGGTCTGGACGCCCGAAATAAGTACGGAAAGAATGGGTACAATGCCCAACAGCAGTTCTTGTTCATTTTGAACAGGATTCGCTGTCCACGCCGCCGCGGCCTGTGTCCATTCGAGACAGAAGGCCGCCTGCCCAACAGCGGCCGCTGTTGGTTTGGGACAACATTTGTTGGTGGGCATTGTACCCATTTGTTCCGTACGCAATTAGGGCGTCCAACAGTTGGGCCCTGGGACAATCAAAAAACGATTCAGGATGAAAAGCCGGCCCCAGGCAAGGGGTCGGGACTTCCAGGGACCGCGCATAGAAACAATCGGGACGTCGCATGTGTGGGCGCGAAGCATGAGGGGAACGCCAGCGGCTCTGATTCGGGTGCAGCTGGAGGCTCGCTGCTCGAGGGTCGCGTCTCCCAGACCGAGGTCCGTTCTCGGAAGGCTTAGGCCGAATTGCATTCTCTCCATCCGCTAGGGTAACCGAGGGAAGGGGTTATGACCCCCCCCTGGGTGATCGTCAGCAGCTAAACGAAAATGATCAATCCGCGGGGGTGGGTTTAGCGGAGCGATGTATTTAGCAGCTAGGAGCTAGGCATCATGATTCCTCCCCGCGACCGACATCCATAAAAAGGATTGGCGGTGAGAACGCAAGAGCCTTGAACGCCGAACGCAAGAGCCTTGAACGCCGAAGATGGCGATCTGCCAACACCCTGGAGGGCTGGCCAGAAAACCCGCCCCCGCCCTCGCCAGTACCATTCTTATTGCAATCCTTACTGAGAAATTGATGTTGTCGGCTGTCCTAGGGTGGGCTCCATCCGAGGGTGTCGCTTCCGCCCCGCATGGAGCGTTATCTTAGCGGCGGGGAACGCCGACAATACTGAATTACCGTCCTTCGAAGTAGTGAGTAGTAGTAGTAGTAGTAGTAGTAGTAGTAGTAGTAGTAGTAGTAGTAGTAGTAGTAGTAGTAGTAGTAGTAGCAGTAGCAGTAGCAGTAGTAGTAGAAGTAGTAGTAGTAGTAGTAGTAGTAGTAGTAGTAGTAGTCGTCGTAGTCGTAGTCGTAGTAGTAGTTGTAGTAGTAGTCGTAGTCGTAGT